GAAGAAGAAGAAGAAGAAGAAGAAGAAGAAGAAGAAGAAGAAGAAGACTGATCTGGCATGGAAATACAATGAGATTATCAAGGAAAATGAATATTTTAGCCCTGCTGTTTCAAGAGATATGCCTAGTAGCAAAATAGCACCAAGGCAGTCTACAAAACCTGCATGATCTGTGTGAGGGGTAGATTTTTCTAAGTTATGAAGAAAAAGACTAACTGCTTACAGTGTCAGTGTGTGGCATGCTCTTTTCTCGGTTCCTGGCGATATAAGTAATTGCATCATGCACTGATGCAAAAAGGTGGTTCTTGGTTATGGTTTCATTGAAAAAATTGCCTCTTTCCAGCTGGGTAATGACAGTGCCTGCAGAGAGAAGAACAGTAAATTGCCTGACAGGGGTACCTCTACTATTTGTGGTGGGAGCACTAGTGATAGATCCAGTCAGTGTTACATCTCATTTAGTCCAATAAATCTGGACTAAAGCAAGACTGGGGAAAGCTATCTTCCTGTTTTAATAAGGCCAGGCAAGAACATTTATTTTGCAAATTTCCTTCTTGTTTTTCTCACTAGAAGGTCTGTTCAAGACCAGGAACTTTTACACCCCCTATAACTTTGTACTCTCTTTCCTTGATCAAAATGACTTCCAGTTGTTACTCCATACTGCATACTGTATGCCTCCCTGAATCTGGTTGTGTTGAACTACCACCCTCATATTTCCAGCTAGTGTTGCACAATACAACCAAAGGTCACAATCTGGGAGAGGCAATGCTACTAGCCTGGTGGGTAGCATGCTATGGGGAGACTTGTTTAAACTTTTGCTTTAACAGAAATTTCCACAGAGGTTGAGTTATACTTCAGAAAAAGGTTGATTTTTCCCAGGCTATCCTCATGGGACTCTTAAATAATTCCAAACTATGATATATGTATGTCCTAGTTTTTAGTCAGATTGTATCTGGGCTGCAAAGGTATAGATTAATACTTAAAGGCAACAAAGAATTTTTTTTTGTCTCTTTACTGCCACTTAATGGCTTTCTGTATTTGCAGCTCTGACCCTGCTGGTCTGGCCTTTTGCTGAAACCCATACAGGTAGTCCTTGATTTAAGACTGTAATTGAGCCAGACAGTTATGATCGCAAGTCTTGACAGTTGTAAACTAGATCATCACATGGCTGTACCCAATTTTACAACCTTGTTTGTGGTGGTCATTGAGCAAATGCGGAGGTTGTTAAGTTAATGTCACCGTTGCTGAGTGAACCCATTGTATGCCACTGGCCAATTTCTGCTGGAAACCGGAAGCAAACACTGGCAAAACCATCCTAAATCATGGCCATGTGATTGTGGGGTACTGCAAAGGGCCGTAAGTGCAGGCTGGTTGCTGAGTACTCAAAATCTGATCATGTAACCCCAGGGAGAGAGCTGATATAGGAACTCTGAAATCAGGTTGTAAGTAGCTTTGGGGGAGGGGGGTGTCCATGGTAACTTCTGTCACTAAATGGCCATTAGTAAATCAATGCTGAAGCTCCTAAATGCCAATGAGTCAGACCTGGATGGAAAAATGAGGGCCTGGAGCCAAAAGCAGAACGTGATTCAAGGTACACCTACTCTCAAGGTAATAAACTTCCTTGCTCTTTCTTACCATGGCAACCAGCAAGAAACACATCCACTTCAATCTCCTGGAAATCTTTAAATATCTGCAGAAGGCAACAAAGCAGAAACAGCAGAGTTGAAATACAGGTGTAAATATGTGTGTTTGGACAGCTGGCCAATTTTGGCTAGGTCAGGAAACTGCTCATGGAGTTTTCCTTTAAGGTAGTACGATCCAGAGGTTTTGCAGCTGGACTTCCCCTGAGAGCACACTAAAGGGAGTTAAACTCCATCGCAATGGGAAGGTGCAGAGTTGAAAAGGATTTACTAGAAAGTTATTTCAATGAGTCATATCTCCCCCTCCATTTGTTCTTTCAATCCTTTTCAGTTTAGTGAAGTGGCCCTGAGCAATCTGCCACAGGAAAGAGCCTTATTTCTGAAAAGCTGGGGAAATAAATCTTGGCATTTTGAGTTCCTTCCAACCATTTCAATTACAGCGCACATACACGTGCTGGGGAGAAGCGACCAAAGCAGAGAAATTGATTTAAGCAGTCAGGAGGAGGCAGGAGAGGTCAGAATTTGCAGTGAACTCAAAAACCCCTTCAGTCCAGAACCCAGCTGGAGAACCTGATCAACTTTAGCATTTTGTACATATGACTAATACATATAGATGTTACGTTCAGTTTCTTCCCTCCAACAAACAGGAACTTGGAACAAATGTGGAATTTTTGTCAGATTCTCAGGAAGAAAAGAAAGCAGTGAAATCTACACTTCATGTGGGCAATGCAGTGGTGTATTAACTATCAAGCAGACTAAGCACGTGCTTAGGGCACCAGGCCCAAAGGGGGCACCACAAAGTTGAGAACATGGCTTTGTTTGTACAATATGTACAAAGGAGGAGGGAGCACCAAGATTTGTCAGTGCTTAGGGCACCAGTGAGCCTTAATCTGCCACTGGGGCAGTGGCATTTATTCCTTGCACCTCCCTCCTTCAAGGTCTGTTGATCTTTCTTCCCAAATGGGGTACAGCCATACACCTGAAAGCTCTCCTCATCCTTACATTTTTTAAGGTCTTTACGGAGACAGTGTCCACAAAGGTGACAGAACTGAAGTCCAGAATGAGTGAGTGGATAGAAGGCTTTTCCAGCCCCAGACCATTTAAACTGGGTTTGCCACATGATTGTGGCTGGTGGTGATTTGGAGGGTTCCAAGCCATCACATTTCCATTGCTTTCAGTACCGGTTATGCCTTCCTCTGGTTCCTGCAAGGAAGGAGAAGCAGAGTTGATTACTTGGAGAGATTCTCCAGGGGTTGTCTTTACTCTTAAGAGTATGTGTGGCGTGTGAGAGGTGTGGACTGAGTTCTGCTGGAAACGTGGACAGATCATAATCATATGTTGGGTTCTCACACCTTAACTTAGAACCCAGAAAAATGTTCAGAATGTCAGAGGATTCAGATGCTAGCTTTTTGAGGCAATGAACAAGGACATAGGGGGTATGCAAATTTCCCTAGGGAAAAAATATATATGAATAAACTGGATCTTCTTCTTGTATTTATCTTAATAGTGGTTGTATCACGTTGAAAGTACTATCATGACAACTTACTAGCCTGGTAAACAACATCTCACTACTTTTTAGTATTTGAGAGCAATAAAGTATCTGTGTGTGCATGTACCTGCGTATGTGTTTGTGAGCGCATGATCATGTGTATATGTGTGAGCACAGTGGTACAACATCTCAGAATTGCATTGTTTTGTCAGAATGCATCTGTCAAATGTCCAAAAAGTATATTTAGTGAAATGTATTGTGAACAGATTATATAGCTATAAGTATTACATTGCTAACTGCACAAATAATACTGTGTGTGATCAGGCATTGCTGAGAATAATGAATATTAGGTCCATACAAATCAGTGAGAAATCCATTTGTGGGAAGGGATAATGTGGATCAGCTGAATATTGGTACTGTAATTAAAAAGTTGCCTTGTATTGGTAAACATAAGTATGATTTCATCAGGTGCATCTCTATCAATTGAATGGGATAGCTCTGCCTCTTTCATCTCTACCTACAGATGTCCCTCTCAACTCCAGTTTTTGATCTGAAATCTCAGATCCTGGAAAACTTTGGCTGGAGAAAGCATCAGTTGTAAATCCATATTGACATAGGAAGCTCAGCAAAGACTTACCACTTTTGTTGCATGGTTATTGAACATTTAATCTCTACTTTGCTAGGTTTTGAAGCTAAAGGTGCTCATTTACATAGAAATGCAAACATACAGTATACAAATGGGTTTAATCAGGTATAGTAATGTTCTAAATGCCTAGGCAATGTTGCCTGCACGTTCTCTTTTTAAAATGATTGTACACGGTACAGTACTTGTGACTTTGCATCCATCTCCACATCCTCAAATCCAGGGTTGTTTTCTCCAGATTTTTTAGCAGTTTTCTGTTACCAAAAACAAGAGGAAAACATATATCACAATGTTCACAGAACTATGTCTTCATATGACATTTTAAGAAACATAGAATTAATTTTGAATCAAGGAAAAAAATCACAAAAGTTATGACAACGGTATGTTGGTGCCATGCTATGCCACGGTAGCTTAGTGCACAAGCCACAGTTAAAACAAATGAGAGTTCAGTACAGTATGTGAACAAATAATGGTGTATATTCAAAGCTGAATAAAGACTTTGTTTTTTTCTACATAAACTGTTGATGTGGAACTAATAGGGATATTGATTTTGGCTAAACCTGACTCTTGGGATTTTTGCTCTGTGTTGCGTCAATAAAGCAGAGAGTTGTAGACCTGCGGGGCTCTGAGAATAAGAGTTTTCAATATCATATATGAAAATATGGTAATACAACAGTCCAGCCAGCCAGCCTGCCAGACCTCTTTATCCATGTCTATTTGTAAATAATGGGGATGCAGTATACAAAATGTTTGAAAGGCTGCAGATTAGTGAAGGTTAGTTTGATCTCTTTCTTCCTTTTTTGATTATCTACAGATAAACCAGATCCTGGTGTCTGTGTGGAAAATATTCTGCTTGGAATTTAGAAGAAAAAAAAACACTAGTCAGAAAATGTACCTTGGCTTCTTTTTTGTCTTTCTTTTGCTTCCTCTTCAGAGCTTTCATCTTCTTTTCAATGAGATGACACACATCAATGCCACACTATATAAATAAAAAAGACAAGTACTTATATCACAGGAAGTAATGGACAGCTGCCAGTTTTCTGGTGCATGATGGGCTGTGGTCAAAAAGTCAAGATGGCAGACACAATGGTAAGATTGAAACTCGGCCTGTTTTTGCATATCATCAATATCATCAATTTGATATGCATCAATGCATATCAAATCCAGGCAGAGCTTTGATTGTATTGTTACGTTTCCCATCTTGACTTTTTTTAAATCATATCCTGCAGGTATTCTTGGAAGACACCAAGATCCATTTTACTCATTTTCACTTCACCAGGCTTCTTAACAGAAGTTTTGTATGATGGGGTTTACACACTGAGAAGGCTCCATTCAGGGTTTAAGTAAATTGATATTTGAAATAATCTGATGGATTGATATCTGGTAAGAAAACTTTCACTAAAGAGAAAGCTATATATGTCAGGTAAGTTCATGATTAGATTATGCCACTATAGGGTCTGCTTAGCTGTGAGGACAGCCTAGAAACAGAATTTATTTCAAAACAGAAGATAGGAGCTATTAATTGGCACCAGTCATTGATTAAGAAGACTGTTGATATGTGATAAAGACCTTTATTGATTTTTGGTCAATTTCTGAATATAATTCAGGGAGCTGCTATTTACTTACACAGCTGTGACTCAGTGGTGGGATTCAATTTTTTTTACTACTGGTTCTGTGGGCGTGGCTTGGTGGGCGTGGTGTGGCTTGGTGGGCGTGGTTTGGTGGGCATGGCAGTTTTCTGATAATGATATGGAAGGAGCTTGCCATTTACTTCCTTTTTTCTTTTTTACTTTCCAGTTATAGTATCATAAATTGTGATATTTAGAAAGTACTTTTGGAGATCATTTTGTCCAACCTCCTGCCCAGTGCAGGAATCAATTATTGCAGCATCCCCCTAAGCTGGCCATCTCATCACTTTTAAAATCCGTAGCAAAAGACAGTCTACTGCCTCTCAAGCGGTGGTGGGATTCAAATTATTTTACTACCGGTTTTGTGGGCGTGGCTTGATGGGCATGGCAGGGGAAGGATACTGTAAAATCTCCATTCCTATCCTACCCTCCTAACCTGCTTTCCAGCTCCATTCTGCTGTGCAGGGCAACCAAAGAAGACCCAGCTGATCAGCCAGGACTTGGGAGGCGGAGAATAGATGAGGATGGGGCCAGTCAGAGGCGGCATTTGCCAGTTCTCCGAATTACTCAAAATTTCCACTACCGGTTCTCCAGAACTGGTCAGAACCTGCTGAAAACCACCTCTGCTGTAGGTGATTGGGGAGTGGATTGGAAATGACTTTTCTCTTGTCCGCTTGTTATCATTCACAAAGCTTTTTCTCAGAGGCTGTTCTCAGGCTGTCTGGGAATATGGCAAAAGGATTTGGGAATGGGAAGAAGGTTTCTGAGGAGGATGACTGCCTTCAAAACTTTCATTATCTCTCATGCATGAGGCAAAAACCTATTTGTTTTCCCCAGCATTTGGCATCTCACACAGTCCACTCATTCACCAGTACTATTTTATTCCTTATCATCAGTTATGTACCACCTTGGAAATTCTAAATTAGAAGATGATACACCAAGGTTTACAATAAGCTGTAAACAGGGAAAGTAAACTCAGAATTTAATCAGAACATTGAGACAGTTGGGCAAATTGAAGTTCCTATAAATTTTTCCTAGTCTGCATCATCAATTAAAAACATATTTTACTCCAAGGGAGGAAATGTACATACATACATGCATACACACACACACACACACACACACACACACACACACCCTCGGGAAAATGTATAGCAATTTTGATATGCCTGAAAGTGGATTTTGATAAGAAATGCAGGTTGATCCTTGCCCTGCTTTTAATGTTGTTGCTTTAATTCAGAGCCTTTCATCGTTTCGTAACATATTTGGAATAAAAATGCACGAAGCGAAGCATTTGATCCTGTTGATTTCAGGTCAGTGAATTAAATGTACCACAAGGGCACTCCCACACGAGGGTTGAAAGAGTATCTCTCTGGATTCCTTCTCAGTGGAATACAACCCAAAGTTATTTGACAGGTCATAGATTGCCATGAATGAGCAACCAAGCAAATACAAGAGCAAACTCTTAAGTTTTCTCACCTTTTTTTTAAGGGCCTCTGCATACAGTTCAGCATTAGCAAAATAGATGGTAGCAGAGGAGTGGAAAATTTTCACACCTGGTATTTCCTTAGCCTGTGGGATAAAAAAGGAATGCAAATGTTAGGAAAAGAACATTATTATAGGGCTAGTATTCAAAGACCAGAATAAATAGAGCTTGATCAGGAACTCCATCTATTTATTTTCAAAAAAACCAAGACAAAACCCAGAACATCAGGATATGCGTAAAATAGGATCTAAAGATGGTGGGAGTCCAATCCAGACATGATAGTTCCGGGCCTGATCAGGCCATTATAATTTAGAATATTTTTAATTTTTTCCACAATAAGAAAGAAAAGACTGACAGGAGACCAGCTTCCACAAAAGAAGCAGAAATGCTGGGCAATAAGATTGCTCTTGATTGTAAGCGCAGCAGTTTTACTGATCATTCTCTGTTGTTTTGCTGGGCACATAATTTCTCAGAGTTCACAGGCAGGCAGAGTCAGCTGTGTCATTTAAACCCACCATAATAACTATAATTCTTGGCTAGAGGAGGTTTCGCAGAGGATTAACAAGCACAATATGGACTCTGCCCCTGCAGGGATCGGGGCCTAATTGTGCCTTCACAGTGGTGATCTGCATTTGTGGATCAGCTTGCCCATTCCGAACTGCAATACTTCTTCCCTGGTGGGTTTCATAGCACTGTAAAAGCTTGACTATTCAATAGTATAGGAGATATTATTTAGTCCTGCTCCTGGTTATTTATTATAATAATATTGCAGTAAGATAAGCAGGAATTAACTCCAGAGGAACAATCAAGTGGAAAACAATACCTTAATCAAGGAACAACCAAAGAGAAAACCACATTTTCATCAAAACTGGCAGAGCAAGCCACTGCATATAAATGGAGAGTAAACCCCACAGTCAGTAGTACTGATGATGTTACCTACTCAGGTAATGAAATGTCTGCAAGCAAATAACCAAGTTCAGAGAGCACCAAGTACTCCACAATATTATGTGCTGTGTTGCCTGTTTTTAAAAGAAATGATCTTTAATGCATTGCCTTGTAAGTTGCTCAGAGCCAGTCTGGAAAGAGTGGCATAGAAAGTTTAGTAGTAAATATCCTTTTTCTATACAGTTCCCGACAACTATCTCTTTTAATCATTTTCATGATATACTTACTTTATGATACTCAGCAATGTCTTTGTAAATTCCTGTGGTGGACACTTGCCCCAAAATGGAATAATAAGGCCTTAGGAAAGGAATAAAAGAGAAAAAGGATTAGCAAACGGTTTGACTTGCTCTCATAATAGGTCATTTTGACATTTATATCTGGAATTCAAATGGAAAAAGAAGCTGCTTGCTTTATATAGTTATATGTCAAAGTTTCTTTACCGGATTTTGTATTAATTGTTTATAGAAGTAATTTTAGATAAATCATTTTGTCAGTGAACATGCCAGCCAAGTATGATGACTCTTTTGAATGTTACCCATGATCAGGGGTGGGATTCTACCACTTCACACCTATTCGATCTATAGAACCGGTTGTTAACATTCTAAGCAGTTTGGAGAACTGGTTGTTAGAAGAAATTACTGGTCTAATCCTGTAAGGAAGGCAGGAAGGAAACATTCTGGTGTTGCTTACAGAAACTGCCTCTCCATTAACCCTTATTACATTCTTGGCAGGACTAGACTTCCTGTCTCAGGAACTTCTTTGGAGTTGTTTTCCCCTCCTTTGCTAGTACTTTGCTTATGTGGAGTGACCATTCAAAGTTACAATGGCACTGAAAAAAGTGACTTGTGACCATTTTTCACACTTACGACTGTTGCAGCATCCCCACAATCGTGAGAAGCCAGGCGAGGAGATGCATGCCTTGATGTGAGTGATATTGAGTTGGCCACGCCCAGCCAATAACATAACCACCAAGCCATGTCCACCCAGTCACATGCCCACCAAGCCATGCCTACCACCTAAGCCACGCCCACAGAACTAGTTGTTTAAAAATTTGAATCCCACCCTGCCCATAATACTGAGAGATTGCATTAATGAAAAAAGATGTAACACAACCCTTTAAGTATTTATACTCTGATTATGAAGAAAGAATGGTTTATATGCCTTAAGTCTGTTCAGCTAGCACAGATTAGATTAAACATATAGATTTAGCATATAGTTACCAGTAAATACTAAATCCCAATACTTTGGTTGCATATATAAATATAAGGTGCTTTTCTTGGTTCATTGTAATAACAGAGTTTTGATTTAATTATATATACAGTATGTACTGAAATTTGCAGTTCCATCAATAGTGAATTGGAGTCTGTCTTCTGCTAAATACTGCTGAACTTCACCTTCCAGCACCTCCAGGCAGAATGGCCAATGGTGATGGATCTGGGAAGTGTAATTCAGTAACTTTAAGGGACCACAGTTCCCATGTTTACCTTTGGCTAACACACTCTGCTAATTTACACACACACACACACACACATACACAGAGAGAGAGATTACTTGCTTACTTAGCATTGTTCTGCCTCTAAGTTTCTTAATATTATCTTATCTTAGAACAAATCAAACTGAATCTTTTGAAATGGGGCAGAATATAAATGCCTTATATTGCTGTATTATAAAAGTCTAGTAGAAAGCAATTCCCAAATCTATTCCTCCCATTATCTTGCTGCCTAGTGTAATACTCACATCTGAGTCCGGAAGATGACAGTGAAGAGTGAAAATGTCACAGCTGCTGCCAGTCCCAAGTCAAGATTCAAGAGTAGTGTAGCGATAAAAGTTACAAGCCAGATAAGCTGGAGGAATGAGAATGAGAGAATAACAACAATACTGAAGGCATCACTGGAATTGCCATTTAGTTTTAGAAGAGGGAGACATTTCAGTAGTTATTATTTTTGACTTATGTTAGCAAATATGAATTGGTGCAGAATGGAATCCCATTGCAGCTGGCCAGTGGTCCTGCCTAACCTTTTTGACCCAAAGGTACTTTTTCAAGAGCAACTGGACTTTCTGGAAGTCTTGAAAAAACATCTTTGGGACAACCATGACTTAGATGACTGAAAATCTCTATAGACAAGTAATCTGGTTGAGGTATCTAAAAAGATGAAAACAATTGGTTTTATATCAGGTAGGCTACTGATGGTGCAGAGATGCTTTTAATTAACTTTATAGGACATTGTTATTGTTCCATTGTATCTTAGCTATGGGATACATAAATATGAAGACAATTGTTTCATTGTAATTTATTTGAATTTGTGAGCTGCCCAGAATTATTGAGATTTGAGTAGTATACAAATTTAATTCTCCTCCTCCTCCTCCTCCTCCTCCTCCTCCTCCTCCTCCTCCTCCTCCTCCTCCTCCTCCTCCTCCTCCTCCATCATCATCATCATCATCATCATCATCATCATCATCATCATCACCTTCCAAAGTACGGAACACATCCAGTCTCCTTGCCTTTGGGAATCTATGTGTAACAGCCTCAAATCTATGGAAGTGAGTGGTCTACAATTTATATCTGAATGTCCTTTAAGTATGACATGGTTTTAATCTTTGCACAGAGAAAAAAAGCTGGCATGTCTTGGGAAATAGTTCTAGTATATCATTTTTCTAAGCATGTTTGTCCAAGGTCTGCATTATCATTATGGGTAAGTGGCCTCCCAAACTATAGGATGAAATGTATGTGCCACATGGCATTTTTTGCTGCATTCTAGAAACAGCAGCATTAGTCTTAGATATAATGCAACACTATATCTGAACACTCTCACTTGTAACAATGTTGGGTGGTGGTGGTGGTGGTGGTGGAAGAAATAAGTTTTTATTTGCTATTTTATTTCTTTATCTGCTTGTTTTTATAATGTGGTTGAAAATTAGCACACTTTTACTGGAATTTCCCCCCACCACCACCTTACATAATACTGTTATTCTTTGCTGTTTCTGAGTGTGAGAACTGCTGTTGGAAGAATTATCCTTCTGGGTTCAGTTCCAAGTGCGGAAAAAGACACTGGAAACATGAAGGCTGTTTGGAAGGTTTAATGGTAGATAGGACACATGGCCTGGAGCTCCAGAGTGAAAAGGAAGGATGATCACATGCTTCAAAGTGAAGGAAGAGATTAAAAAAAAGACTGAGGTGCTGAGAGTGCCTGGGTTTTATAACCTTTGTTGGGATTTCAATTGGAGCTTGTATTCTGATTGGTTGTCAGGCTCCCATGGGGCTATGCAGAGGCAACTCTGTAGGCTGTCCTGAGTTCCAGGCTTGGTTGAACCTTGCTGGATGATGATGATGCACTGAAAAGGGCTTTTGGCAATTGCTATAGCTTTACCTGGAGATCTTTGTTATGTAAAGTATTCTAGCCCAGGCCTTAATGGCCCACCCATTAACAGAGGTGGGGGTGAGCTTCTGCTTCTGAGATGAGTTTCTGCTCTTGAGTTTCTCCTCTTTTTAGGAGAAATATTCTGCCTGTTTAATATTTCCTAGGATATTTCAATTTTCCAGGAGACGGGTGGTGCTAACTTCCTACACTGCATCATACATCCCTGTTGCGTGCATAACCTAAATTAGCTCCTTGTACAAAGCAGAATTTATGGCCATCCATCAGTCTCTTTCTGCCCTCGGATTCCTCTTGAAGTCTTCTCCTACTTACCAGGTCGATAAAATTAGATCTCCAAAGTACAGGAATACATTTGAACTGCTTGAACATGCCTTTCAAGTTGACAATAACAATGGCAGCTAGGACGGCCTAAAAGAAAATGGCAAAGATACTATTTTATAATATCTAGAGTAGGAAGTTTCAATTCAAGTAATGGGTAAGAATGGAAGAGTCTTCCGATAAAAATAAATCTTTTCTGGAGTAATACAAACCTCACAAAGTCATCTTGATATTATCACTGTATTTGTAGAATATTTCCTTCAATATTCACTGTATCTCAATGATATTTACTTATTTTTTAAAAAGAACAGTCTAATTTTTGAACATACTTTGGGTAGTTCGTGGAAAAGCTCTCCAATCTTCAAAATGGTTGCCAGGATGATGAGAGAGGAGATGACTGTAGCCATCTGCAAAATAGAAAACAGGAAACGACTGACTGCAAAGCAGGCTGCGCAATGCAAGAAAATAACCCCAAATTTCACTTTCCTCCAGTTTCAGCTTGTTATCAGGTTTTGAAGACAGCAGATGGTAGCACTTGGCTGACTTTAGGCCCCCAAAACTAAGCAGGATCAGGCCTGGTTATTACATGGATGGGAGATGACAGAAAGTCTTAGAACTATGAAAAGAGAAAAAAGAACCTGGGTAATGACCGATTGGTCAGTCTGATACTGATATTGAGCAAAACTGTGGAACAGATTATTAGACAGTTTGTGAGGATTCAGAAGACAATGTCTTGCTTGACAGTGCCTGTTTATCAAGAACAAGTCATGCCCATCCAATGTGATTTCCCTTTTTCACAGAGACCAATTTAGGAGATTGACGTGGAATAATGTATTTTGATGTCAGCAAAGTGTCTGACTTCCATGAGCAGGGGTGTCAAACTCAATTTCATTGTGGGCCGCATCAGGGTTGTGTTTGACCTTGAAGGGTGGGTGTGGTGGGCATGGCCAGCTCAATATCACTCGCTCTGTTTTCGACTGTGATGGCCTCCTGCAGCCTTCTGCCAGCGAAAATGGAGCCTTTGGTGGTGGTGGTGGTGGTGGTGTACAGCGCACAGCCCTCCCTCTGTTTTTGCTAGCAGAGGCATTGTGGGCTGGTCCATTGCTGATTCTAGGGTGGCCTCACAGGCTAGATCTAAGCACGCCGGGGGCCGTATCTGGCCTGTGGGCCTTGAGTTTTGACACCCCCACCCATGAGATTCTAGTAAAGCAGGCTGTAATACTACTATTAGAGGAATATAGAGGTGACTGAAAAAAGATAGCTGATAAGAATATGTCAATGATTTTTTAAATCAAACTAGATACATGAAAGTTTGAAGTAATGAACTACAGGCTTCATTTTAGGCCTAGTGCTGACCTGTATATTTAAAAATGAGTTGTACGAAGAGCTTAAAAAAAGATTGTAAAATTTGTAGAAGATGCAAAAATGGAGAGAATAAAAAAAAACTCCTTCGGAGATTATGTGGGTGATCCTTAACAAGCTGGTCAGAAAGATGATTATCAGCACAGCTGATAACGAAGGGTTACATTCTGGTGGAAAATGTCTTGGGGATAAATATAGGATAGGGGCCCCACACTTGGCAATGCTACACAAGAGATTATCTGAATGCATCACAGTCTGAATATAAACAAAAAGTGTGATGTAGCTGCAAACAGACAGACAGACAAACAGACAGACAGACACACACACACACACACACACACACACCAATATTAGGCTGCATCACTGAATTGTGAAAATGTGGAGAAATCAATCATCTCTACTCCCTTTTGGGTAGAATATAAACTAGAATATTTTGGATGGGATATTGGCATCTCCATTGAGAATGTTGCATCCCATTCTGGGTATTACATTTTAGGAGTTATATTGAAACTGAAGTGAGTCTAAAGGAGAGCAACCGTGATGGTCAAGGTTTCGGAAGGAACAATGTATGAGGAATGGTTGGAGGCAATGGATGTATTGAATTTGGAGAAGAGAAGACAGCAAGAGGAGTTCAAGTATCAGAAGAGTTGTCATGTAGAATATAGGGAAGAAATGTTCAGAGATGTTTCTTAAGAGAAGAGAAAAAAGAATAAGTTTAAAATGTGATTTAGTTCGACATCAGGGAAAACTCCTAACACTAAGAGCCAACAATGGAAGAGACTGACTTGAGAGCAGGGGTGGTATTCAGCAGGTTCTGACCAGTTCTGGAGAACCGGTAGCGGAAATGTTGAGTAGTTCGGAGAACCAGCAAATCCCACCTCTGACTGGAGATTTTACAGTATCCTTCCCCTGCCATGCCCATCAAGCCACGCCCACAAAACCGGTAGTAAAATAATTTGAATCCCACCACTGCTTGAGAGGCAGTAGACAGTCTTTTGCTACGGATTTTAAAAGTGATGAGATGGCCAGCTTAGGGGGATGCTGCAATAATTGATTCCTGCACTGGGCAGGAGGTTGGACAAAATGATCTCCAAAAGTACTTTCTAAATATCATAATTTATGATACTATAACTGGAAAGTAAAAAGAAAAAAAGGAAGTCAATGGCAAACTCCTTCCATATCATTATCAGAAAAATGCATATACTTAGTCAATGGATGTCTGCCTCAGTTTGAGACATATTTACTTTTATTATTTACTTAGCCTTGAGCTCTATTTCCTGTCTCTCCAATTGTCTGAGCAGTCTGGAGATAGAGGGAGTCATAGAGATAGAGGGAGTCATAGTGCAAAAAGATTTGGAAACATTTGTGTAGCAAACTGCTCACTTTTAAGGGCATGGTGGATATTGGTTTTTTTTTTTTCAAAAAACAGGAAGCCAAACAGCCTTCAATAATTTATTTGCCTCATGCATTCAGAGAGAATAGTGATGAAATAAAGGCTCAAATCATATTAATTCCAGTAGCACATTCAAGGTAACTTAATATTTGTGAGCAGATTCACGGCCCACTCAGCAAAATACTAAAAAATACTCTAAATGTATTTTTTATTATATTCCATAATATAAATAAAATTATCTTCTGGGGATAAACAAGCCCAACCTCAGTCCACTGAAGTCCACTCAGTCCACTCATTGAGGTAATTTCTAAAGCTAACTGTACCACTGCATTCCTCAGAGTGATCTCATATATCCCAGCATGCCTTTCAATTAGTTCTCACTGAGAACTAATTGCAGGTCTGTTCTTCGATCCACTTATTTGATTGATTCCACCTTCTGCACAATTCCTTCCTCCTATCAGAAAACGGCTACAGGCTTATCTGGGCTTTACCTGGCTGTGTCCTCCTGTGCTTTCTTGTACTAGGGAGCGGGACATGGAGCAGCTGATGCTGTAGCAATGGAAAAAGCTACCAGTGATGTTACTGAGCCCCAAGGCTATCAGTTCCTGCAAGAGAGTTGAGAAGAGCTCAATGTAAGTTTCTTTATTTGGAGAGGGACAAAAAACCGTTTGGAAGAGGCTGTATGCCCATCCCTTGACTTGTAGGTAGTTCTCGACTTAGGACTATAATGGAGCCTGCCCAATGGAGCCATAAGCCATAACAGTTATGTCAAAGTATATTCATGAACTGGAATAGAGCATGGTAACAAGGTCAGCCAATGAATAGGCATAGCAACAAAGTCAGCCAATGAGGACTGTTTGGAAACTGAAACTAGAAGTAGCCTAGGTGTGGCTCTATATTAAACTCTGCAGCTCTGAAGCTATGTTAAGCTCTGAGTCTGTCTATTGAAAATGAAACTGCTTCTCTCCTCTGCTGTGTGTCTTGCTTGTCCGCTGAACTAAAGTGAAACGGATGTCTGTTTCTGAGCTCCTGAGTTGCTGTTCTGCTCTGAACCTGTAACGTGTCTGCTTCTGTTTGAGTTTGCTCCGTGTTGGAGAAATCTACAAGTGGTATTGAAAAATTTACTTTATAAATGAAGCCTCAGTCATCTGCGTTTACTTTTCTGTTGCGGAATTTACACTGCAATACTCTGAACAAGATATAACATAGGTCACTCACGTGACTAACTTGATTTTGCAACCTTTTTTGTGGCTGTGGTTAACTGAACTGTGATCATAAAGCAGTTCACTGCATGTATTAAATGAGCACAGCAATTGTTAAGTGAATTGATGGTTTGTTACGGAGCGGTTTGGCTGAAAACTGGAAGTAAATGGCAGGTTTTGGCAAAGCCATCATAAAAGGCGGTCATGCAGGATGCATTAAATGCAACCCGTTGCTAAGCACCTGACCTGCAGTCATAGTATTGCAGGGGAGTGGGGGAAGCAGACATTGGAATTTCAGAGCTAGGTCATTAATATTCCTGGGAGGATCCTTCATAACTTTGAACCGTTGCTAAGCAATGGTTGTAAGTTGAGAACTACCTGCAACAGGAGTAGATCATAGACAGTGGACAATGGCAATCAAGAGAGAAAATAAAATCAAGGCAAACAGAGAAGAGGAAAAGAACCTCAGGAAGCCAAGATAAGGAAAGCATAACAAATGTCTTACCTGGTTGCTGTCCACACTATAACCATGCTTGAGTGCGAAGATTTTCCCAAGGGAGATGCAAATGACATAGCTAACTATAGCAATGGCAAAAGCGTTCCCTATTGTCTGTCCAAAATAGCTTCCATTGGGGGCTTCAGGAGATCTCAATCTACAATAAGGAAACATAGATGGCCCAAGGCAATACTGCTGTACAGGTGAAGCAAGGCAAAACAAGAGAGGAACGGGCAGTTTCCCAGGGCCGGGCTGGGAAGAGGAGTGATAAGATAAGATAATCTTTATTATTGTTGTTTTTTACTGTGAGCATATTGGCCCTCATTAAAAATGAAATTCAGGTTGTCAATGGAACTCAAAAACAAAGAGGAGTCAGTACGACAAGATTTGGAACTTATGGTACAGCTGATTAGAAGGTAGACATGAAATGAACAAAAGAAAGATAAATAAGAAGGTATGATGAAAGTTAAAAAATAAAAATGAAATTCTGTTGCCTGCTCACAAAATAAAGTATATATCTACCCATACAAATAAATGACACACACATATCCATGCTATTTCTCTCTCTCTCTCTGTGTATATTATACTGAATCTGGATGTTCTGCTTTGGATACCACGAAGGCTCCTCCCAGAAGGTAACAAGGAAAACAGGTCATGAAGAGGATGCATAGTGGCCCAGATAATCCTGCGGACCCTGCTCAAGTATCACTTATATGCTTTGTCCTGGATATTCAGCAAACAGGAAGGGAACCTCCATTTTGTGCAGTCCAAATGAGACTCCTATCAGCTTAAAAAACCAATTAATCTGATTTATTATGGCTCTAAGACCAGTGGATTTGGGAAAGCAGCAAGAAACACTTACCCCTTGGGAATATCGCCCACAACACTAATCCCAAATTTGTTGTTCAGGCTGGCACCATAGCAGATTGCTGTGGAGACAATAATCTGAAAAAAGAAGGCAGGGAGGCAAATAATATTCTTTTGTAATTTAATGCTGCTCACAGATGAATAGATTTAATAGGTTGCAATGTGTCTAATATGATGGCCTCATTCTTATCTGTTGGGTCAGAATTTCCCAAACACCAGCTAGCATAAAGATCTCTCAAGACCACTAGATTGGGGAAGGTTGAGCTAGGCATTCCTCAGGTGCATAATGAGAGCGGAGGAGACTCAACCACTGCAGCACTCTAACCCTTTTCGTTTTGGTCTCAGAAATGAGATTCTGAAAATGCAGCACTAATGGCTGCTGACAACAGAGGCATTGCAGTGATCTCTCAGTTTGCAAAATCTCTCAGTTTTATTTAGTTCTTCATTTTGTTTCATTTTGTTTTAACCTTGGGTTCTTTTTGAAAGAGTGTGTAAATTGGTAAGTTGTTGTCATGAAAAAAACCAAACAGAATCCTATATTTTATTACAGTAATAATAACAACAAAACATCATTGGCATTGACAAATTCATCACCAGTCAATTGCAAAGGGCAGTTTTGCTCAGAACAGCCTGCGATGATACCTGTGATACCATCAAACATCCATATCTGCCTATCCCGTGTTCTTGGGAAGGAATCAATAGGTGGACAAAAATACCAAATCCAGTCTGAACATCTGGCTGATGGTGTGATAAACCATAATAGCAATAAAGCAGCAGTGTGTATAATTAAAAATATCATTCAGCAACTTAAATCTCACAGAGATATTTTAAAAAGAGGAAATTACCTAAACTAAATGACGTTATCAAAGTAATTAACCGTCAATCTTTTATTTTTAGCAACAGGCATTTCAATAAGATGGCAAATCACCAAAATCCTTGGCTTTTTGATTAAAATCAAGCGTACTTGAATGCTTAGAAATTGAGAGTTAGATTTTAAGAAGGAGCTCTCTAAACTCTTTGTTTCCTACTCTTTCAATTTCTTTTGCCTTTGTTTCTTTAAAAATAAAATCTTCATTTCAATGAAGAGAATGTATTTCTTCCAAGGAAACAAAAAAAAATTATTTCTCTCTACCACAATGTAATAGAAGCTGATACTAATTCCTTCCCAGAATTGTTTGGAAACAAATTCCTTCCAATGATTGCTCTTTTTAAAACCCCAACTAAAAACTCATTCCAGCCAAACCTTATTCCCAAAGAGAATCTTGAAAAGTGATCAGAAAAGCTTCTGGATCCTGGCATGGAAATTCATGCCCAGAGCAGACATGTAGAACGTGAGAACCAGGCCTATTTGTGGCTACTGAAAGTTTTGGCTGAAAGTTTTAACATCATTTTTCAACTGGACCTTTTATGTGACAATAGGGGAAAATTATGAAACATGTGGCTAAGGAGTAAAATATTTCCAATTTCATTCCTCCGCTATTGAATATATGTCAGTATATGCCATTACTTAATATATTCATATTGAAGTTGTGAAATAGATAGCTGTGTAAATCATATTAGGCATATTTTTGGGGCTGGTGGCAGCTAAACTATGGTGCATTTTCCTTATAAATACCTAAACATTCACCTTCTGCTGAGTATAATGCCAATAATTTTATTTCCTTGAAGTTTTCGTCTTGTTTTAATAATTAGACTTTGGAGGGGTGGTATTTTGGGGATATTATGCTAGTTAGTTTTTTTCTTGTAATTTTAACAGATTTAAACAGATTTATGTCATGACTTCTGCACCACTGATTGTATCGCTGTTCCATAGTCATTTTAGGAAAAAACAGACAAGGCAATAATCTTATAGCACCGCCCAACAAGTTACCGTGAGAAGTTCAATGGGGATAGGTGTTGGAAGCTTCTTATCAAATTTGTCATTGAGTAGCTTGATGAGCCAAAGGGCAACCATAGAGATCAAAGCAGTGACCACAGTGCCAGTGTGAGTGCCAGGTAATTTTGAGCAAATCTCCACAAAGGTCTGTGGGAAAATAGCAAGATAGAGGAAGTCATAATTTGGGGACACAAGAACACTGATGAAACACAACTTCTGTGTGTCTGTCTGTACTTACATAGATCAGTGACAATGGTCCAGATTTCTCTTCCAGGCTGATTCCAAAGACATACTTTAGCTGGGAAACCAGCACATGGACTGCAGCGGCTGTGGTATAACCTTGCACTAAGGGCTCTGAAAGATAGGTGGCCACAAATCCAAACTGTAGCAGGCCGAGGGCAACCTAAAAACAGATCATTGGTGAAGTTACACCTGCTGAAACTGAAACTCTCCCAGGATATTCTAGCATATTTTTCTTAAGACATCATTAGCCCAGAGAGCTAATGGTGACCCAGAAAACAGAACAAATGCTTAACTATTGCTAAGCAGGAAAGCAGAAGTTTCAATAATTTGGAAGCCATTGCACTCCTTGGAATCCAGTTATTTTTAAATTCTGTTCCTTACTTAGCAGGAAGCATCTACTCAGTCACTCACAATGCACAATCAGCAGCTCTTAGAACACACACTTATGAACTATTCAGGAAATGGGATTTTTCACTCCTCACCGTTCTCTGCATATGCATGATACACCTTACCTTGTCTTCTCTTTTCTTCCTGTTGACACCCTCATCTCCTGTTAATTTGCTCGTCTTCCAACATATCCGTGTCACTGTCCACATTAACTGCAGCTACCTCACCTCAAGGGACGCAGGGGCTCGGTGGCTAAGACGCTGAGCTTGTTGATCAGAAAGATCAGCAATTCAGCGGTTCGAATACCTAGCACTGAGTAATGGAGTGAACTTCCGTTACTTGTTCCAGCTTCTGCCAACCTAGCAGTTCAAAAGCATGTAAAAATGCAAGTAGAAAAATAGGGATCACTTTGGTGGGAAGGTAACAGAGCTCCATGCGTCTTCAGTGTTTAGTCATGCTGGCCATATGACCATGGAGACATCTTCGGACAGCGCTTTGTAACAGAGATGAGCACTGTCCCCTAGAGTCAGAAACAACTAGCATGTATGTGAGAGGGGAACCTTTACCTTTACTTCACCCTGCCTAATAACAGTAAGACCAACCCTTTCAGCCTCAGAACCAAAGCAAATTCAATATTTCTCATTTTTAGATTTTAGGCATTGATTCAGTTTACAGTTTACTACAATCAGGTTTTTACTGCATGTTTATCACCCTCTTACCTGGAATAGGCCCATTAAGCAGGTGACTGAAGCTACCAGCTCTACTCGGGCTGCATCCCTCCGGATCTCATTGACAAA